TTATTAACTGGTTTTTTGGGCTTAATTGCATCAAAATAAATTGTTGATGAGTGTAATTGTATCTTTAAAAAGTTTGGGGAATTAATTGACTTTCAGCTAAAGTTTGAGGACCTATTTGACCATTTTCTCCAAAATTTATTGTAGAAAAATAATTTATTTTGGTTTTCTTTGTTTATCTGTTTTTGTTGAGTGATAAAACTCACATCAATTTGGGTCCAAATATAAAACTTGAGTTAAATTTACAATCATAAGTTGGTTTTGATGTAATTAAAACTAGAGTCGCATTAGTGACTCAAACACGTTAATCCAATCCCATCATACAGGAAAAAAAGTGGAATATATGGAGGGGGAACAATGAAACAAAGAGATCAGAGGAAATTATTAAAGAAAAGCAAGATTGAAGTTTTGAAAATGTTGCAAGAACCTAGAAAGCAGCAATAGATATAATGTTGAATTACATGGGATGGGGCATATGTATGTATGTTTTTTTTTTTTTTTTGCTTTTTTTCTTTTGCGATGTTTTCTCGTTTCTTTTTGTGAGGGTGACAAGTGATGATTCGATGTAGGGAATAAAGGGGGAGGGAGATATATGACGTATTCCCAATGATCTTCTCACACTGTGATTGATGAATATTTGTATCTTTTGGTACGAACATATACACACATTAAAGTGTTTTCACCTACTGTTTACCTGTTCCAATTCCCCCACCCACCTTTGCTCCTTCTTTCTTCCATTCCTGCTCATCAATCACTCTCCAATCTCCACAATCTTCCATTGTCTTTTGTTGTCCTCATACAACTCTATTCATTATTGATTAATTCAAACAAAAAGTTAAAAGTTCTGCTTTGCTCGTAACTACACACCTAACCAGCACCATACTCAGACAAATCTCTGTAAGCACCGAACCGGCGGACAGGCCAAGTTGGTAGTACCATACTCAGACCAATCCCTATAAGCACTGGACAAGCGGACCGGCCCAGTACTGGCCAAATTGGTTTTTTCATACGATAGGGGATTCGTACTCTCGACCTCTCTTAAGGGACGAGAGTGTATGGCCACTCATGCCAACCAAACTGGTTAATTAAATTCTTGATCTATTTGGTATAAATTAAAAAGCATTGTAATTGTTTTTATATTATGGGAAGTATCATGTTGTATGTACTACCTAAGTGAAGCATTGAAGCATGTTCAACGGTTTCATGTGTGTCTTCATAGGTAAGATTGAAAACCCAATATAAAAGGGGGCTGGGGTAATTAAGTTGGAATCTTGGATCACGAGGGGAGAATCTTGTTATGGAAGTGCTAAACCCAAACCAGTGTCAGCTTGGTTTTAGTTATACGGCGTTCCGGGCGGAGTTAATGCGCTCATGTGTCATGTGTTCATACATACATACGCTATTAAACAAACATCAAGTGACCACCATGAGTTTCCATCTTCTCATCATGCAATATCTGTGATGAAAACTTTTGTGGTATATATTGTACGCCATTTTTTCATACTTCTATGATGAAATGAGATGTGTAATTATACTCAAATTATTAGGACTCTAATACTATTTCAAAACTTAGTTGAAGATGAGTTTGACTCGATCGAATTGCACTATTAGGTTTGAGACAAGTTCTAATAAATTATATGTCAGAATCACAGTACACTAATAGGTCTAACGTGGTGGTACATTACTAGTGGCTTTAGTCGGCCATGACATTGCATGTGTCGCGCTTTAATATGATGCAATGTGGTGAAAGTGACTTGCTTGTCTATGGCGAAGGATCTCTATAACTGATTTCTCAGCGTCAGAGGCTGAAGTGCCCAGGTCTAGTTGGTACTCAGGTCACATGCAATAAACTTGCCATATAACCCCAATACCTCATGAGGCCTCAACTTAAATACCACTTCACAATGGCTTGTACAATTATATAAGAGTTTTAGTGTGCTGATTGCTTAGAAAATTATTACAAGTAAATTATATATACAAAATTTATATTATGTTATATTCGATCTAAATAGAAAAATTCTTTACTTAAAAGTTATTATCTCTATTCTTATTAGTAGAAGACAACTATATTCAAATTAAATATACTTCCACTAACATGTATACTTATATACTTAATCCATGCCACAAAATCTAATCTCTTAGAAATAATGTTGACCATTGTTGAAAGTTAGGTTATATTTTTTACATTCTTTTAGAGATTTTGAGTGTGCTTTCGGCTACGCATTGAAATAGGGAAGACATCTGCCACCTGCAATGCATTGCATTATTTGTGGGTGGAATAGACAAAAATTTAATTAGTTTAACATAGTTTTTTTGAAAAAAGTTTAACATAGTTTTAAATAAATTAATTTGGGATATTTCCTAATCCAATTATATTATTTTAATGAGAGAATAATATGCTCAAACTAATCTAGATAAGTTATCACGGTATGATCCACTTTAAAGGCATCCAAATTGTTTTTGTGACGGTATGAATATAAGACTTTGAGTCAATTAATCCACAAGAATCAGAATTAATTTGAGAGGCGGCTTTGACTTAGTTTCGAGGACTTAACATAACAAGGAGTGTTTTTTAGATTAGGTTACTGAAATGTTAGGGGATATGATGTCTCATTAATGACCATACTGACCACCTCTGGATAGTGGAAGACATACACCTTAATTGCGAATTGGATACCTAATAAGAGAAGTCTAATTGCCATCAACGACAAGTTATAGTAAATTAGTAGCATTAGGAGGAGATCTTTGATTTATAGGAAAGCTCAAATCCACTACCCAGAGGTGCGTTATGGATGAAGTCCTATCCGCCTGTTACCCTAGGTATCAAAGAACCACAAGGAGATAAATTAAATCACTCTAGGTTGTCAATAGCTTAACGTTTCAAACTAAAAAGGTCAATGGATAGCTCCCACAGATCAGAGAGTTAAAATTTGAAATCTTGTGATTACCAAGTCAATTATCCGGCAATTTCGATTAAAATTGCTCCGGAAGGAAGAGATCTTGGATCCACCTACCATTGTAATAGAATTATACCAAAATTCCACCACGAATAATATAATCATTTATCATCTTTTCCCCTAGAGTTAATTATATATCATCATGTTCATTTGGTCCAAAGATTGTTAAAATAATAGAGGAAGGGATAAGCTAAGGCCCTAATGGGCATAATTAAATTCACAAGAGATCTGTGTCATTTATCTTTTGTTCTTTTGCTTGCTACTTTTGTTGGTATGCAGGGGCAAGGGGGCTTGATTTTAGCTGAAATCTGATCACAACATTAGCTGTGGCATATAGTTAATACTATAAATGTTATTAAATCCTTTAATTATCATATGAAACATTGGTTTTGTAATTTCGGCGAAGATTCAGCCTTGTTTACCTCTTCGAGTTGCGAACTCCGGATCGATATATACACATTTACGTGGTTAATTAGTTATTGATTACACCTAATTAATGCCAGCAAAATGAGTTCTGTTCGTTCTTTTGTTCCCAAAATGTTGAATCTCCAATCCCAATGACCCTTCACACGGTCATATTCTGGCCCTGCAGAACATATAAAAGATATAAATCATGGTAACTCAGCTGAACACAGAAATTAGACCTTTGTTTACTGCGCACAAGGAGCACCTCGTTCTTTTTATTGAATAATTAAATTTCTAGGGTTCGAGACATTATAAACGAGAAATATAATTATATTGTAACATAATAGTATATGTTCATTCATACTTTCTCAACCGGTTGAAGCACAAAGAGTCAACATCGTCTCCATTGAGGCTCAATCTCATGATTTCGTTCCCTTATGAAAAAGTCACTACATGCCATCTGAGCACAATGTGTTTGGCTCGTTATTACTTTTATTTTCACGTAAAAATTTGTTTAGACTTGTACTATAATTATATAAATAAATTTAATAACAAAAAAAAAAAAAAAAATTGGGCAAGTTCACAAGTCAGGAGTCTTGCTTTTGTTGTGCAGTAGTGTCTTTGTTTATATGATTATAAGGTGGACCACTTTTTACTCAAATGACCCTTTTTCCATCTTTTGATTCGTTTCCACTGTTGTAAGTTCAAAATATTATAGCGGGTGAGCCCTGCATGCCCTTGTCTTCCAATTTGCTAGCTACAAATATAAAATACACACATATTTATACTTATTTTTATATATCCGAGTATCCTATAGACCGGCCGATTGATATGACGAGTTAAATAAATTGAAAATGGACCCATAAATTAATATACAGAATAAATAGACTTTGCTAGTAAGACTCCGAGAATTAGAGTAATCAGAACAGTGATTTTTTACACACAAATAAAAAAATTAAGGTGGATTTTTTAATAAATGAGGGGTGATGTTTTTAATGATTTTTACTCTTGCAAATCAAAAATTTTTGTGCGCCTCATTGAATAGGGAAAGGAGAGAAAGCACTCGCGCTACTCTTGTGTGTGGGAAACTCTTCACCGAGTCCCAACTGGGCGCGTAAAGAAATTATTTTTTTCTTTTTAACTTTTTTTTGTCAATATTTTTTCTCCTTTTTCCTCTTCTCTCTTCCCCCTCTCTTCGACATGGACCTGAAAAAACCAACAAAAAATGTACACTATGAGGTTGCTTTTAGAGGACCAATGGTTCAACATTCTATATTTAAAACGTAGCGTTGATTGTTACTCTAGTATAATAAAAGAAATAAAACTACTTTTTCAGCTATTATAATTTTTGACATAATAAAGATACTTAATTTTGATAATGGGTAGTAAAGCACATATATTAATATGAGAAAGCTAGAAATCTGGGTTATCCCAATATATATATATATATATATATATATATATATATATACAAAAAATGGAGCTCCAGCCTACAGACTTGGAACAGTCCTTGTGATGTGGTGGGTAATTAAATTATATTACCCCTAGAGGAGGAGAAAGAAAAAGTCATCCATTTCAAAATCTACAAAGTAGTTGGTACTGTTTCTAAATTGTCTAACTTGCCAGTGGCAAATTGGTAATCACCCGCCTTTATATATCCATTATTTGAAGTTTTAAGCCACACATTATCTCCCCTATACTACACATCCAAAAGGCCAGGGAACCAGAAAACACCATGGCTACTGGCCCCTCTAACAAACAACAAATCTCTTCCTCTTCTTCGTCTTCTTCTTCTCCATCTTCTTCTTCAACCTTAAGCTCCATGAAACTCAAGACCCTTCTCCAGACCTTCATCTTCTCCCATCTTTACCGCATTGCACGCGCCGTCGCTAAAGCCAAGTCCATTCTCTTGCACCTCCTCAAGGACATCCATGTCGTCCACTTACTCCACCTCCCATTGATGACGAAGAAGAGCAACAAGAACAAGCACTTTCTTGGCTCCTTCAGGCTGCACTACAACTGGTGCTCGTCCCACGTCGCGCCGGTCCCTATGCCGGAAGAGATCAGCGGCGGCCCCACCGCCGCCGGCGCCGGAGCAGGAGGCGGCCGCGTCTACTACGACCCCACGTGGAATTCTTTCCTATCTGCCGCGTTTGATCGTGAGGACCCCAAGGAGCTCTCCGGCTACCTCCACTGGCTCGAAGAGAAGGGTCGCGAGGAGCCCAACGGTGGCGGCCGCGGCGGCGGGGCGGCGGGGAACAACGGGGACGACATTGATCGGCTGGCGGATATGTTCATTGCTAACTCTCATGAGAGGTTCCGGTTGGAGAAAGTTGAGTCGTATAGGAGATTTCAAGAAATGCTGGCTAGAAGTGTATGAGCTAGCTAACTTAGCTTGCTTCAACCTCTCTCTCTCTCTCCTAAATTTTAATATTTTCCCTTCTTCTTTTTTTGGGTTTTTTTTTTTTCTTTTAATGATTACTTACATAATGAAAAATAGGGGTATGGAGAATTGTGCATGCAATGGATGGTTAAATCTTGAATGGATGGGGTTATGGGAATTGTGCAATTCTCCTCTTTTGACTTATCATCTTGTTCATATAGTTTGAGATGTGAAATTAAGTTTAATTCAAATTTTAAAGCACTTTAAATCTTTTTTTTTTTTTTTTATTGTTTCTAAACTTTACTTCATTGATTAACTGAGCTGTTCATACGGGCTTTCTAGTGGTCTGCTTCAGTACTCCGACTTAATTCATGGCATATATATATATATATATATATATATATATATATATATATATATGCACTTTAGATCAGCACTTTGCTAATGGATGCCCATGGGCAGGCAGACAAGAGTGCATGTTAACTGTGGACACCATCAAAATGTTTTTATTTTATGGATATATGTCTGTGTATCTCTATTTCTATACCAATAATAGAAAAAATTATGGAGATATTCTCGAGAATAAAAATACTATTGTCAAATTAAATGATTCTTTAATATTAAAAAAATTAATAATATTGTGTCACGTTATGGATTATTTTTACTCTTAAAATATACGTAACAGTCCTCTAAATAATGATAATTTCATCAATATCATATATTAACTACAGACTCATATTGATCAATCCTCTTGATCATTAATTGATTGATTATCGGTCACACAAGTTACTCATTTTTTTAATCAGTTAATTAAAAAAATTATTGTTCTTACCCTAAAGACTTAGTAGATGAGGTAAATCATAAGATGTAGTGTCACAATAAAGTGAATTATGTGCACCAATCTTACACCACATGGCTGCTAGTAAAAAAAAATACTATTAACTTCTTTAGATTTAGATGTTTAGCACATAGATGGTTGTGCTAATAGCAAAAACCAACCAAGTCTTAACAAATTATTCAAGATAAATACATGTTTTACATATTAATTTCTACCCAAACATTCTCAAACTCTTATCACCTCATTTGAAAAGAAATCTTCTAATAATACTTTTTTTTTATTTAAGAGCTTGGGTCAGTTTGAGAGCCAGCCACCCTAAATAGTGTGGGTGAGTAATTTGATTCGCTGACCTTTTGATATAAACACATGTACTTGAAACAAAATTTGTCATAAGATTGATACATGATTGGATAATAAAGCCTAAGTGATTTCTATTAATGGGAGTACTTCTCAGCTCGTTGATCGTGCATTGGCAATCTGTTTCCAGCCTAAGGTTTCTGATATTCCAAACCTTTAGCCAGGAGAGAGCTTCCTTACATCCTATTGCTTCTTCTAAGGCCGGGGATTGGGGGCAGTTGATGAAACCATTTGTTGTTGCGACAAAGTCCCCTTTGTGAGAGAGTAAGACAATTCCAAAAGAGAGTTTTGGCCCTATTTGGTAAAATAGTTAACTTATAGGCCAATTTTAACTGATTTGATCATTATTAGCTCTTCGATTTGATTAAAAAATCAATATAAGTGTTTGGTTAATTAGCTTTTTGTAACTTCAAATTACTAAAATTCAAAAAACTACTCAAAACAACTTTTTCAATTAGTTTTTTAAGAAAAAAAATTATACCAAACAACTAATTTAACAAACACATTTCTACAATCAACTAATGTTATCAACTAATTATACCCTCTAATTAACCAAATCATCTAATAGCTAACATTCATTTACGAAACAGGCCATTATCTTCCTGGGAAAAAGCGTTGCATCCATTTGGCAAATATAGGTTCCATTCGGGATAGACTGGATATTTGAGTTGGCAAATAATATTATAATACTTGTTATTTCATTGGCTTCAACTTGAAATCTTGTTTAAGAAATCCAAATATCTTATATAAGACTTCAGATTAAGTTGTTGATATTTGAATATTCATTATTCTTTTATTGTGAATATATATATTTATATATTTAACCAATTACATAAGACCTCAGATTAAGTTGTTGATAATTTAATATTCATTCTTTAATTTTATTGTGAATATATATATATATATATATATATATATATATATATATATATATATATATATATATATATAAATAATAGCTCATATGTGGTCATGTCATTAGGTGTGGCGGTGTGGTCGTATCAGTTTGATCTAACGGCAGTGACTAACTCTGAGGATTTGAGGATTTTAGCGCGTTTTGGTAAGTGGGGGTGTTATGGTAATTACAGTGGTCATTTATAGCGGTCGGGTTCCAGAAATGCACCAACGGTGTTAACAACATGCACTAATAGTGTAATAAAACACACCACAGTGAAACACACCAATAGTGTATTCTCGAACACTGTATGTTGTATTTATTCATATTTAATGGCGCATTTTTGGTGATGTGTACCTAATTTGTGTATGTTTTTTGTTGTGCATTTCATAACATGGATGGTGTATATTTGTATAACAATGTGTGCGGCCGCACTGACCACACGGGAAGGCGTTGCCGCACCTAAACTTGGCACCAATGGGAATCTACAAATACACCAGAGTAAGATTAATAATGCACCAATTACACAAATAAACACACAACAATGTGATTTTCCCTATTTCGGTGTCCCATGACGAGTTTACCCTTACAGTTCGCTGGGTATGAGAACGTGCACGAAAATATTGGAAGAATCTTGATTAATGTGATTCATTGGTTCTATCTAATCTAATAACCTGTAATTGACCATATGACCCACCTAACAACATGCACTTGATCTTAAATAATTATATTATCAACAACTTAATCTGAAGGCTCGTTTAATTAGTTATATCTACTATCTATTATATACTAATAAGAGCCCAATAAAGTTAGGCCTATAATGGGTAGAAAAAATGGCGGTCAAGTTTTTTAATCAAATGAATGGCTCAGATTGATCATATTTTAATTTTTCCTTAAGATTTACTAATTTATCCTTAATGAATGTGATTATCTGTTAACTTTTCCGTTAAATATAATTTTTTCCGTTAATCCTTGTTAGTTCACCGTTAACTTACTCATTGATTTGAATAAGAAAGGTCTTAGGTTCAAACCTCATCTCAATCAAAGTGGCATAATTAGTACTCTATTCTACTCTTATTAAATTAAAAATAATAATTTAGTAGCTACAACAAAAAATAATACATATGCATTTCTTTAATTTAGAATTATGTGTCTACAATGTCTTTATTCAAAAAAAATTATTCATTATCAATAAATTAAATAACAAAAATAATTTCATTAGTTAAAATTGTCTTTATTTTTCTCCAATATAAAAATTCTTTACATTCAAATTCATCAATTTATTATATTCGCTACATTGTCTCTACAATGTCTTTATTAAAAACAAATAAATTATTCATTATCAATAAATTAATTAAGAGAAGTAATTTTATTAGTTATATTGTCTTTATTTTTCTCCAATGTAAAAATTCTTTACATTCAAATTCATCAATTGATTATATTCACTACATTGTCTATTATCTTTTTTGTTCACTATTTTTTTAATTAAATATCAAAGTTATAATACAAAATAATGTTATATATTTATTTACCAAGTATTTTATTAATACCATGAAAAAAAAATATAATTAATAAAGTCAATCATATTTACTACTTGAGGGTTTGTTGACAAAGAGAGTATTCAAATCACACAACAAATTGAAGTGAGAACTATCTCGCAATGTCCTTGTTTGACAATCAGCGGTTAGTGGTTAGCGTTAGCGGATTTGACAAGCGAATTATATTAACGATTGGTAAAAAGATATTTGAAAAAGTTAGCTTTTTAGATTAACATGTAAAATGACCTAAGGGTATACATATATTTAATAATAATAATAATAATAATAATAATAATAATAATAATAATAATAATAATAATAATAATAATAATAATAATAATAATAATAATAATAATAATAATAATAATTGTTTTAAAAAATAAAAAATATATATAATTAAGTCAATCATATTAACTACTTGGGGGATTTATTGTCAAAAAGAGTATTCAAATCACATAACAAATTGAAGTGAAAAACTATCTCGCAATGTCCTTGTTTGGTAATCATCAGTTACTCCTCAATATTAGTATATATTTAATATTTTATGCCCTAATTTTTATTTGCTCCCCCTTATGTCCCGTATTTAGTTTCAACCATACCTATACATTTATTTTATTGACAATTATAATCAATCTTGACTATATTATCTTGCATTTGTAAACTTAGAATTACCTATTTAAATACGTAAATTCAACATTCAATTATCTATGCATAAACAATTCTAATTTAATCTTGCCTTCATATACTTTAAAGTAATTATTTTTTTAAAAAAATATTGGGCACTATCTCAATCGCGCAATGCGCATTAAAAACTAGTATGTATATATATATATATATATATATATATATATATATATATATATATATATATATATATATATATAACCAATCTCTTCTGGTCTATTTGAGATATTTTCAAGGCATTTTCAGTTGGTATATATATATATATATATATAACCAATCTCTTCTGGTCTATTTGAGATATTTTCAAGGCATTTTCAGTTGGTTAAATTTTATAGGTAGCTGCAGGGTTAGAGTGTTAAAGACAAATATAATATCTACCCACCCTCTCTCTCTATATCTACGGACTATGGGCATAATCTGATGCTTTTGCAATGTGGACACCTTATCTTAACAAGAAAATTAATGTATTATTTTAATACAACTTTAACTAAAGTATGCACATATAATCTTTATTCGAAAGATAATATAATTGTAGAAAAAGAAGTGATTTAGAAAGTCGTCATTTGGATAGTGAAACGCCGCTTTTAACTAATCCTACTTGAATCCATCGTCCATGATATCACCTTTGTTTAATTACTATTTACTTTACATTCTTTACCTTTAATTAACAAAATTAGTAGCATTATTTCTACTTTGTAGTACTGTTAAATACAAATGCTTTTGCTTGTAATTTTTTGGTAAATTAAATAATAATATTTTAGGATATTGGTTAATAGTAAGACTTTGTTGAAGGTAAATATATAGTATAACTTTTAGTCATAAGGCTCTAATAAGAATACTGTTATAGTTATAATGCCAGTTAGCTCAAATACAATGGATCAAAAGGAATTACAGAAGGATCGAGTAGATGATTCGGCTTCAAATTCAGTACATACATTTGGT